GCATGAGGCATGCACGCCATCACCAAGGCTACTTGCAAAAGAGAAGGAGCCAGGCCAGCAAGCACTGCCACGGACACCAGCCAAGATGCACGGCTGAGAGCCAATCCTCGTGCCTTAGGCAGGAGGCATGTTGATCAGCTGGGGGGGGTCGTGGCGACGGGCTGGGTAGTGCCTTGCAAGGGAAATCAGCAACCGCGGAGCCCATGCACACGAAGAAGACGACGAGCTGTGCCGATCGGTGCCGCCTTGCTGCCGGGTGCTCCGATGGGTGCTGGCTCGCTCCCGGGTGCTCCGATGGGTGCTGGCTCGCTCCCGGGTGCTCCGATGGGTGCTGGCCCGCTCCCGGGTGCTCCGATGGGTGCTGGCTCGCTCCCGGGTGCTCCGATGGAAGCTGGCTCGCTCCCGGGTGCTCCGATGGGTGCTGGCTCGCTCCCGGGTGCTCCGATGGAAGATGGCTCGCTCCCGGGTGCTCCGATGGGTGCTGGCTCGCTCCCGGGTGCTCCGATGGGTGCTGGCTCGCTCCCGGGTGCTCCGATGGGGGCTGGCTCGCTCCCGGGTGCTCCGATGGGTGCTGGCTCGCTCCCGGGTGCTCCGATGGGTGCTGGCTCGCTCCCGGGTGCTCCGATGGGTGCTGGCTCGCTCCCGGGTGCTCCGATGGGTGCTGGCTCGCTCCCGGATGCTCCGATGGGTGCTGGCTCGCTCCCGGGTGCTCCGATGGGTGCTGGCTCGCTCCCGGGTGCTCCGATGGGTGCTGGCTCGCTCCCAGGTGCTCCGATGGGTGCTGGCTCGCTCCCGGGTGCTCCGATGGGTGCTGGCTCGCTCCCGGGTGCTCCGATCGGTGCTGGCTCGCTCCCGGGTGCTCCGATGGGTGCTGGCTCGCTCCCGGGTGCTCCGATGGGTGCTGGCTCGCTCCCGGGTGCTCCGATGGGTGCTGGCTCGCTCCCGGGTGCTCCGATGGGTGCTGGCTCGCTCCCCGGTGCTCCGATGGGTGCTGGCTCGCTCCCGGGTGCTCCGATGGGTGCTGGCTCGCTCCCGGGTGCTCCGATGGGGGCTGGCTCGCTCCCGGGTGCTCCGATGGGTGCTGGCTCGCTCCCGGGTGCTCCGATGGGTGCTGGCTCGCTCCCGGGTGCTCCGATGGGTGCTGGCTCGCTCCCGGGTGCTCCGATGGGTGCTGGCTCGCTCCCGGGTGCTCCGATGGGTGCTGGCTCGCTCCCGGGTGCTCCGATGGGTGCTGGCTCGCTCCCGGGTGCTCCGATGGGGGCTGGCTCGCTCCCGGGTGCTCCGATGGGTGCTGGCTCGCTCCCGGGTGCTCCGATGGGTGCTGGCTCGCTCCCGGGTGCTCCGATGGGTGCTGGCTCGCTCCCGGGTGCTCCGATGGGTGCTGGCTCGCTCCCGGGTGCTCCGATGGGTGCTGGCTCGCTCCCGGGTGCTCCGATGGGTGCTGGCTTGCTCCCGGGTGCTCCGATGGGTGCTGGCTCGCTCCCCGGTGCTCCGATGGGTGCTGGCTCGCTCCCGGGTGCTCCGATGGGTGCTGGCTCGCTCCCGGGTGCTCCGATGGGGGCTGGCTCGCTCCCGGGTGCTCCGATGGGTGCTGGCTCGCTCCCGGGTGCTCCGATGGGTGCTGGCTCGCTCCCGGGTGCTCCGATGGGTGCTGGCTCGCTCCCGGGTGCTCCGATGGGTGCTGGCTCGGTCCCGGGTGCTCCGATGGGTGCTGGCCCGCTCCCGGGTGCTCCGATGGGTGCTGGCTCGCTCCCGGGTGCTCCGATGGGTGCTGGCTCGCTCCCGGGTGCTCCTACGGGTGCTGGCTCGCTTCCAGGTGCTCCGACGGATGCTGGCTCGCTCCCGGGTGCTCCGATGGGTGCTGGCTCGCTCCCGGGTGCTCCGATCGGTGCTGGCTCGCTCCCGGGTGCTTCGATCGGTGCTGGCTCGCTCCCGGGTGCTTCGATCGGTGCTGGCTCGCTCCTGGGTGCTTCGATCGGTGCTGGCTCGCTCCCGGGTGCTTCTATCGGTGCCCCTCCCACGGTGCAGGAGAAATCAAGTACCGTGGATCCCCTGAAACCACAGAAAACCAACGCGTTGCACAACTCATATATGCCTTAGAGGCTCTGCAACACTCTTATGCCTATGGCACAGCAGGGTGAGGGTGGGAAGTGGGGGTGGCCAGTGAGGGTGGCGAGTGAGGGTTGCGAGTGACGGTGGCGCAACAGGTGAAGCTAGATGCACACAGAATTCGGGGTTGGAATTGGGTACCTTGTTAGGCCGTGATAACCAAAAGTTCTCGAGCTGTCCCCGGAGTACGCAAAGATGATGTTGGACGGGCCCGCCAGCTTCACTGGCACGTTTCCAGATCCCTCCGTGCGAGTGAATCTGCAGCCAAACAGAAATATTACCATGGGAGATCGATAGGTGGCTATAAGTTCAGTCTAGGACCAGAATGAAAGGTTTAAGAAGGGCACGGGGCACGTCTGCAGCGCACTCACTCGAGGATATAATCGTGATGTTTCAGCTCGCTTGATCGCTGCTCTCGTTACAGTCAACACTCTTGCTACAATCGCCACTCACTCGAGGATAGTCGCGGCGCCTGTCACCGCACGGCCCTTTGCCCCCCCGAGGAAAGAGCTCATTTCCCCAACGCGCTCCTGGCCGCCGGCGGAGGTCGACACGAGCTTATAAGCCGCCGGCAGGCCCGACCCGTTGACCTCTGTGCCGTCCGCCGCCCGTTCCTCGAGATTGCCAACCACCGCGTCGCTGCCGGCCATGTTGCCGTCCGGCGACCACCCCACTGCCGCCCAGCCGGAGGTGTACGTCTCGAGGGCGAGGTGGAGCTCCGTCGAGTTGGGCGTCTTCCAGTGGAGAAAGAGACTGGGGGCGGGCGTATTTTCGAGGGGGCAAGGGGAGAAAACAGAAGAGCATGCAATTTCAGTCGAACGTTCACAAATGCGAGGTAGGTCGAGTGGCGTCCAGCCGACAAAGGTGCATTTCTGCCTAGTAGGGCGCGTGGGCGATCCACGCATTTGAGGTCGCTCGATGCGATTTCTGCAAAGTTTTTCTAGGGAGTAGTTGACGTCAGCAGCTGAGCGCAGCTTTCAGTGAGCGGCGCCGCCACTCTCGGTCGGAATTGAAAGAGAATCGACGGAATGCGACACCAACCAAAAGAGCAATTCAGGGAGAGCGCACCTGTCAGTGAGCTGCACCTCCACGTCGTATCCATGGAGAGTCGATACAACGCAGTTACTCTGCGCCGCCGCACCCGACGCGAAGAGCGCGCCGTAGAAGGCCACGGCGAACAGCACCGCCGCGAAAGCCGGCGCCATGGACGGAAACTTTCCAGCCACGACGATTGCGCGCCGAGTTCGGGTTTCTTACTCGAAGAACCCCTGGGGGTGCAGCTGACGAAGCTCGCGAAGCTAAGCGACGCTCGCGAAGCTAGTAAGCGTAAAGCTGACGTGCGGGAATTCGAAGCAGGCTTGCGAAAGACCCGTTTAGGAGCGTAGCAGCTGCGCGCGGGGATCAGATCTGATGAAGATTACCGAACTCTGATGAGAGTATGTAGTAGGGGTAGGATCTAGTACGTTCAGTAGAGGAGATGTGCTGGAACTGAGAAGGTACCGAAGTATGGGTATGAAGTATGTAGTATATCGTATGGGTACGGTTGAGGATCTAGTAGTACGCTGCTCCGTAGAGGAGATAGTGCAGGAACTGAGAAGGACGTGCTCCTAAATACCCCCAGTACCGAGAGCGGGATTCTCTCGGTAGGAATGCCTACGGGAGTCGCTCAGTGAGCGGGTTGTAGCTAACATTGTCGGGCGTTCGGCATTGCGCACACTTCCTAAAATTACAAGTTAAAACAATTGCGGCTCCAGAAGAGTTCCACCCAATCATGGCTGAACGTCGTCGGGCATTTGGCGCTGCGGCACACTCCATCCCATTTCCCATTGCCCATCCCATCCCATCCCATTCCATTTCCCATTTCCCATTTCCCATTCCAATAATTGCTCGCCCGGTGGAATTCGACGCATTCTTGCTCCAATTTTCCGTGTCGCGGTTCAGGAAGGTTTGCCCAGCGAGGCACGGGGGATTCACAGATGCTCGCGTATGATTGGCTGTAGCGTGGAATGTCAGCTCGGGTCGAACCAGAAATATGCGCTGTTCTGAAATCGGTACGGATACAAGCTTCCAAATCTGTAGTACAGAACAACAGATAACTCTAAACTTTAGCGCGCGCTTTTATGGGCCACAATGACGCAAATAACTTATGGTGCTTGCTCCCTATCCTTTACCAGGCGCAGGCCATCTGTCAGTGGGTTAGCATCAGTTAATTTGAGACTGCTTCCGATTTTAGGTGCGACGCGGATATCTGTCACATCTGTCTCTCCAGACTCCTCCAACTAGCCTGCATCCTGATTGGCTTCCCATCCCGCCAGCCAGCTGTCCTCCCCTTCATCTCCCTCCCCATTTCCTTTTCCTTGACCCCCCTCGCTCTCCTCTCCGTCTTCCCCTTCACCTTCACCACCCTTCGCGGTCCGTTTATCATTCCTACTTGCATCATCCCCAGTCCCTCTCTCATCATTCCCCATCCCTCCCTCGTCATCCACAGTCTTCTCATCATCCTCACTCCCACCACCCTCTTGAGTGGGAGACCCACTGCTCTCACTGCCGACATCAGCCCCATCAGCCCTCAACTCCCCCTCAACACCTCTTCCACTATTTGTTTTGCTGTCACTGCCGACATCAGCCCCACCAGGTCTCGAATCCCCCCCCACACCTCCTCCTCCATAACTGCTCTCATTGCCTGCAGCAACTGTAGCAGACTTGTCATCATGCTCTTCTCCTCTACCCTCCCCTTCACTATTGTCACACTCACTGTTATTAACCTCATCTCCCCTACTATCAGCCATACTACCCTCATCTCCGTCATTATTCGCTCTCTCTGCAGGGCCCACATCACCACTTGCACTACCAACCTCAGGTCCTTTGTTACTCAAACCCTCACCATGCTGTCGTGTGTGTCGAGATGAAGTGTCACATTTTGGAGAATTTGTCGATGACGACGAGGATTGCGTCATGACCGCCTGTGATAGTTGGTAACCCGGTTATGAAATCCAGGCGAACCACTTGCCATGGCTTTTCTGGAGAGGAAGAGGCTGTAGCAGTCCTGCCTGTTTCTGCTTGCTGCTCTTCATCCGTTGACATGTCGTACACGAGGTGACAAATTGCTGGACGTTGTCTGCCATGTGGGGCCAGTAGTAGTGCTTTGCAATACCGGTGAGCGTTTTGTTGCTTCTGAAGTGTCCCGCATATAGAACATCGTGGTATTCTTAGAGTAGTAATTGGCGCAAAGGAGGGTAATTGGGTACCCAGATTTCCGTTGATCCCTTCCGCTACGCGATGTCACTGTCCCACTGTAGCACGTGTCGTTTTGCCGCCAAAGGAATTTCGGAGTCGATGGCGTACCCGTGTGTGAAGAGTCCCTCGAGGAGTGGGCTGATCTCTTTGACCTGGATTGTGGCAACGTGTGCAGGCCGACTGAGAGCGTCTGCTTCGTTTTTGTGGCTGGGCTTGTACACGATGTCATACTGGAAGTGTGTCTCAAGGAAGTCGATCCATCGCACCTGCCACCTAGAGATGTTTGGTTGTGTCTTCAAATATTTCAGGCTGCATTGGTCGGTGTAAACGGTTGTTTTCCGTCCTTCGAGAAAACATCTCCACGTTTTGAAGGCGATGATAATAGCAAGGGCCTCCTTGTCGTGTATCGGGTAGTTTAGTTCTGCCCCGTGTAGTTTCTTGCTGAGGTAGGCGATTGGTTGCAGTCCATTCCCCTGGTCTTGCATCAAGAGTGCTCCCACTGCCTAGTCACTAGCGTCAGCTTTGATGACGTAGTCGCGTTCGGGGTCTGGCAAGATGAGTACGACTGCGGATGTGAGTGCTTGTTTCAGCTGCTCCACGACTTTCTGATGTTTTGGTTCCCACTTATAGGGCGTGTTCTTCTTCAGCAGACTCGTGAGTGGTTTTGCGATTTTTGCGTATTGTGGCACGAACCTGTTGTAATAGTTAGCGAAGCCTAGGACCTGCTGCAACTCCTTCACGTTCTTGGGTGTCTTCCACGTACGTACAGCTTTGATCTTCTTGGGGTCGACGTGAACTCCTTGAGCGCTCACCATGTGTCATAGGAATTGGACTTTCTCAAAGGCGAATTCGTTCTTGGATAATTTGACGTAGAATCGTTCTCGTCGAAGAATGTCGAAGACGCGTCGCAGGTGTTGGACGTGCTACTGCATGTCGCGTGAGTATATGAGGATGTCGTCTAGGTAAAGCACCACGCATTCGTCCAAGAGTGGGCGTAGAATATGGTTGATTTCGGCTTGGAATGTTTCCGGTGCGTTGGTGAGTCCGAACGGCATTACCAGATACTCGTACGACCCGTACCGAGTTTGGAAGGCATTTTTATGGATGGAATTGTCCGCCATTTGTACTTGCCAGTACCCGGACCACGGATCTAGTTTGGAAAATACCATGGCTTCCAGAAGCTGGTCAAGCAGGTCATCGATTCGAGGGATTGGGTATTTGTTCTTGATGGTCTGCTTGTTGAGAGCTCGGTAATCGATGCACATGCGCAGGCTTCCGTCTGGTTTCGGTGTGAAGAGTACTGGGGCACTGTAGGGCGAAGTGGCTGGTCGGATGAGTCCTTTTGCGAGGAGATACTCGATCCATTTCTTCATGTCGACTAGCTCCATGGGGCTGAGCTGATATGGTGTTCGGAAGGTCGGCTTCGAACATGGTACTTCCACGATCTCGTATTGGCGCGTTCGGTATGGTGGCAGCTCGTTCGGAAGGTCGTCGGGAAGAATGTCTTGGAACTCCTTCAATAATTCCTTCATTTTTTGTGGAGGTTCCGAGTTTTCTCCCCGTCATTTTCCACCTCTGTTGCTATCGCCAGGAACCCGGTGTCGGTTCGCTTTACGTCCTTCTCGAATCGTACGAGTGTCTCCACCAGGATATCTCCCGTATCGTCCCAGTTGGGTAGCTGGACTCTCCTTCTATTGTTGTAGATGCTTGTGGTACCCCGTTGATCTCGGGGTTGTTTTTTTTTAGGAAGTCTCGCCCGAAGGTCAAGTCAAGCCCTCTTACAGTGGCGAAAACAATTGTCCGTGTGTTTTGCATAAATTTGGGTTTTTAGGCTTTAAGACCACTATACATTACGCCTTAATGTTTAATGGTGGTACGATTTGGGAGGGGCACATAGTGGATGTTTTCATAGCACAAGTATCAAGAATTGTACATTAGATCTACCTTATATGCCAAAAGATATAAAAGGGTACATCCGGACAAATAGTTCCAAGCCGAGAGAGCAAACTTCAAAAGTCATTTCTAGTTCCTAGCCCACCGACCTTTGGCCTTGATCACCGCCCGCACCCTCCTAGGCGAGCTGTCGATGAGGCTAGAGCAAACCTCGGCATGGATCTTCTCCCATTCGTCCCGGACCAACTCTTAGAGCTCTAGCATTTCAGAGGAAGGCCTTTTCTGGTTGGCTAGCTCCCTTTTCAGGTAAGCCCCAGAGGTTGAGGTTTGGTGAAAAAGAAGGCCACTCCAGGGCTACATACTCATGTTCTCCAAGTCATTCATGCACTAGGCATAACAAATTCTTGGGGTCATTGTCCACACCGAGATGACCTCAGAGGAGAAAATGCTATAGAAATGGAGGTTCAATTCGAGTTCGTCATGCAAAATGCCCTCATACAGGGGCCTCTCCATGCATCCGTCAATCTTGCATATGAACCCCACCCCCGCACATGTCACACATCCCCACACCATCACCGATCCTTGTCCCCATGGTTTACCGTCTGTTTGATTTGGTGGTGTTGCAGGGTTGTGCCTTCACAAATCCAGGCAAACGCGCGGCCATTGGAGCTGAAGCAATTGATGTTGGTCCCATTTGACCATATCACATGCTTTCGAACACTAATTGTCCACTCCACGAATTGCAGCCGACCCCTGATTATTTTCCAGAACAGTCTTGGCTTCTATGACTGATGCACCGTGACTAGACCCGCAGACCCTAGTGTGCTTTTAATGGTGCAAGGGTGCACACTCAATTGTGCAACGTTACCCTCAGTTTCGTGGTGTCTATGCTAGATTTGGCCGCTCTATTCGTGATTTTACCCTACAATGGTACGATGAAGTCGATCCGTGATAAGATGGGCCTGACCGGCTAATTGCATCTTTGGCCACACCTCAGCATGGCTAGTCTCAAAGATACAATTCAATCGAAATTCGTCCATAATACTCTAGCCTACGCCTGACTTTTTTCGCGATTTTCCTAGTGCTCACCCCCTTATGCTAAATGGTGGGTCCAGGAAGAGTGCAAGAAGTTCCCCGCCGAGGTTTGTACTAACCTCGTAGGTAATATGCATAGGAGGGTGCGAGTCATGATCAAGGCCAAAGATCGGTGGGCTATGTAGCAAATACCCAATTCTGGAATTTGCTCTCTCTGCTTGGAAATATTTGTCCGTATGTACCCATTGTATATCTTTTGGGATATGAGTTAGTTCCAATAAACTCTTCTGGATATTTGTGCTATGAACACATCCACTATGTGCCCCTCCCAAATCGTACCACCATTAAACATTAACGCTTAATGTATAGTGGTCTTAAAGAAAAAAAACCCAAATTTATGCAAAACATTCGGACAATTGTTTCCGCCACTGTATGTTGGTGATGGGGAGTGCAGGTTTCTAGCGCAGTGGTCCGATTTGTAGGTGTAACACTGCTTCACTGTGTACTGGTAACTTGCTGCCATCCACCATCGTTGCAAAGAATACTAAAGGCTTGTACTCTTCCCGAAGTCAGTCGATTTCTGCCTTGTCGCAGACGATGTGTGATGCTCCGCTGTCCACGAGTGCTTGGAGGTGGCGTCCTTTGCAGATGGCCTCGAGAACGAGGGGCGGGCGTTGGTCGGAGTACCCAAAGATAGTTTCGTTAATAGGATCATAGGGTACATCCCAGTATTCCGTACATACATTTTTCTTGCTATCTGCTCGTGGGTTAGCAGCTGGCCGAGGCTTCTTGTAGACCCCCAGCTTCCTCTTGAGCTGCTTCATCTCCACCGATGTCTTCCCTGGGGAGCGGGTAGTCGTTGTGGGCTGATGTCGGGAGAGGACGTTGACTCCGTGGAAAGGTCAGCTTTCTTTCCACACTCCTTAATTTTGTCCCCAAGTTTTCTGGTACCGGTATAATCTCCACAAGTTTCTGCTTCTTCTGGAGTCCCTCCCGAAATTTCTCCAAGGCTCTAGCCCCTCGAGAATCATAAGTTTTCATTAAAGCGAGAGGCTATAATAATGACCCCCATTTCGAGTTGGACCCAACTCGAACTAGTTCAGGTCAAGAGTGTGTTGGTTGGAACCTTGTGACGAGTATCGGGGCACCGTATGGCGAAATAGATGGTCGGATGAGTCCTTTTGCGAGGAGATACTCGATCTATTTCTTCATGTCGGCTAGCTCCGTGGGGCTGAGCCGATATGGTGCTCGGAAGGTCGGCTTCGAACCTGTTCCTTCCACGATCGCGTGTTGGTGGAATAGCGCGCAATGACAGCATCTAAGAAGGCCTGGGTGCGTTCGGTATGGCGGCAGCTCGTTCATAAGGTCGTCGGGAAGAATGTCTTGGAACTTCAGTAATTCCTTGATTTTTTGTGGAGGTTCCGAGGTTTTCTCTCTGTCGCTTTCCATATCCGTCGCTATCGTCAGGAACCTGGTGTTGGTTTTGCTTTACATCCTTCTCGAATCTTGCGAGTGTCTCCACTGGGATATCTCCTGTATCATCCCAGTTGGGTAGCTGGACTCTCCTCCCATTGTTGTAGATGCTTGCGGTACGGTTTACCCAGTTGATCTCGGGGTTGAATCTTTTTAGGAAGTCTCGCCCGAAGATCCAGTCAAGCCCTTTTATGTTGGTGATGGGGAGTGCAGGTTTCCAGTACACTGGTTCGATTTATAGGTGTAACACTGCTTCGCCGTGTACTTGTAACTTGCTGCCGTCCACCATCGTTGCAAAGAATACTGAAGGCTTGTACTCTTCCCGAAGTCAGTCGATTACTGCCTTGTCGTAGACGATGTGCGATGCTCTGCTGTCCACGAGTGCTTGGAGGTGTCGTGCTTTGCAGATGACCTCGAGCACGAGGGGCGGGCATTGCTCGGAGTGCCCAAAGATAGTTTCGTTAATGGGATCATAGGGTACATCCCAATATTCCGTACACACCGTTTTCTTACTATCTGCTCATGGGTTAGCAGCTGGCCGAGGCTGCTTGGAGAAAGTTTCTCCCTCAGGACCCTGAGCTTTCTTGATGACTGTGTGTGTCGTTGTTGCCGAATTTGCTGAGTTGGATGCACCCGGAGGAGGAGTTCGGGGTTTTTGCAGCTTCTTGTAGACCCCCAGCTTCCTCTTGAGCTGCTTCATCTCCACCGACGTCTTCCCTGAGGAACGGGTTGTTGTTGTGGGCTGGTGTCGGGAGAGGACGTTGACTCCGTGGAAAGGTCAGCTTCTTTCCACACTCCTTTACTTTTTTGCTTCTTCTGGAGTCCCTCCCGAAATTTCTCCAAGGCTCTAGCCCCTCGAGAATCATAAGTTTTCATTAAAGCATCTTTATAAGATAACTTTAACGAAACCTTATAATTAATTGGGTCTTCTCGGAGTTTTCCCGTCTCGGCAGAGTCCTTTTTTCGCGGAGTCAGATTTTTTCTCGGCGATTTTCCCTGGCGAAGACTGGTCGTGGGGTGGAGATTTTTCCCCATCATTTCGTCCTGCTCGCGTCGAATCAGATTCGTTTAAGTTGATTTTCCCAGAATCCCACGACCGCTTTCGGATGTTTTCATTTTCGCCAGCTAGATCCGCAATCACTGGCGAATTCCGTTTTTTGTCTTCTGATTGGCCGAAGAATTTTCGCCACTGTTGCGTGCCCGATAATCTGCTCGTGCGGCTTTCATTTTGTTGCAGTCGAAGATTCGATGGCACGGCACCCCGCAAAAATCACACGTGTAGTTGGTGTTTTTCGGACGTGACCGCTCGTCGAACTTGTCGATTTCCATCAGGTCCGCGAACGTGGGGTGAGCTGAGCGGTCGCCCTGCCAGTGATATTTCACATCCATGTGCTTAGTCCTCCCATGCCAGTTGTCGTTCTTCGCTAGTGCAATAGCCGATTGGCTATCGCTCTTGATGGTGATCGGGCCCTCCATGTTGATGTCCATCTCGTTGAGTAGACGTCGCAGCCACACACCCTCTTGGCATGCATAGAACAATGCCATGTACTCGGCTTCGGCGCTTGAGAGAGCAATATCGTCGAGTTTCTTCGCTTGCCACATGATGGCTGTCCCACCAAGGAGGTAGACATAGCCGTATGCCCCCCTCCTCGTCTCCTTGTCCGATGCATGTGAGGCATCGGCATATCCCATGAGCTCAAGGCTCTCTTCTCCTCCTTCAAACAGCAAGCCTTCATCCTCCCTTTGCACAAGGTAGGTGAGGGTCCTCTCCATCTCCTTCCATTTCCTTCCTTCGGGTTGGAGCACGTTTTGCCCCAAGAAACTTGCAGCATAGGCGATATCAACTCGTATGCATGACACGGGGTACATCACCGATCCCACCATAGATTGGTACGCCTTCAAGGCCCTCTCTTTGCTGCCCCATGTGTCCATCTCTTCTTCCACATCCACCTCTTTTCCCGCCAAGCTGCTGAGAGGTGTTACAATGAGTTTGGTTCCCAAATGGTCACCAAAACGCTCCTTCAACCGATGAGAGTACTTCTTTTGGTAAAGAAGCAGCTTCCTCTCCTCTCGGTTCGGCTCCAAGTTCATTCCAAGGAAGAGGGTTGCCCTTGGAATTTGCTTCACTTGGAAGACGCTTGCAAGGTGCTTGCAAACACCTTCCACCTCTGCTTCAAGAGCTCCCGCCACGAGAATATCGTCCACATAGAGAAGGAGGAAGACTTTCTCCTTCCCTTCTCCCCTCCAATAGAATGCTCGGTCACTTTGGCTTTTCTCAAAGCCACCCTTCATCAGGTGCTCATCCATGGCCTTGTACCACTCACGTGGGCTTTGTTTAAGGCCATAGAGTGCTTTGATGAGCTTGCACTTGCGGTTGGTGCCATCTTCACACCCGGGGGGCTGCTCCATGTAGATTTCCTCTTGCAACTTGCCGTAGAGGAAAGCATTCTTGATGTCGAGTTGCACTAAGTGATAGTCACGAGCGGCTACCACCTTGAGCAAGGTCCTTGCAGTTGTAAGCTTGCTCACGGGTGCGTAGGTTTCAACATAATCCACTCCTTCCACTTGAGTGTAGCCCTTGGCAACGAGCCTTGCCTTGAAGCGCTCGAGTTGACCCAAGTCTCCTGTTTTGATCTTGAAGATCCACCTCACTCCAACCGGCCTCCTCCCTTCTGGAAGTTCCACAAGTACCCAAGTTCCCCTTTCTGCCAAGGTATCTAGCTCTTCTTGACTGGCTTTCCTCCACTCCTTGTGATATGGCCCCGAAAGTGCTTCTTCAATGGTGACCGGTTCATCGGGTAGACTGTACTTTGCACGTGTTGCCTTGGAAACTAATGACGTTGCCGAGATGGTGAGGAGGAGGTGGGTGTGGATGTCCTTGAAGCACGTCATGACGGCGTTGGCATATTGAGGGCCAACCACGTTTGGATTCGGCTTCTTGATACGTCGTCCTCTCCCCATCCTCTCCTCCTCTGGTTCGGGTTCGGCTTCCTTTGGCGTTGACGTTGCCTCATTATCCGTCTCCTCTTCTTCGTCTTGTCCAATCAAGATGGCTCCTTCATTGAGAAGACCTTCAATCTCTTCCACCTCCTTCTCATTATCCTTAGAGGTCATGAGCCTCCAAGGTCCACTTGAGTCCGTGGTACCCATTTCTCTCTCCATCGGTACATGCTCCTCCTCGGTTTCTTCCACTTCCACCTCATTGTTTTCAGCTCCCAAACATGCATCCTTGTCCTTTGGTGTCTCGGAGTTCTCCATACTCTCCTTGGGATTCGGGTTTGAGACATCATGCTCCCATGCTCCATGGAACACAACCTCCTCCGAATCGGTTTCAGCTCCAAGTCCTTCTATTTCGACTTCGAAGAGTGATGTCTCGTTGATTGGGGACGTTGTGTGCATTCGGTTCACCGTGCCGTCATTCTCCCTTCCATTCTTCCAAGTCATGTAGTTGACTTCTTCGTAGAAGACACCATCGCGTGTAGCCACCAACTTCCCCGTCTCCACATCACGCACCATCCATCCTTTGCTCACGGTAGATGGTCCCAAGTGAACACCCCACTTGGTCCTTGAGAGAAGCTTGTGATCGGGACCCGCCGGCTCACGGTATTGCACCATGCATCCCCACACCCTAAGGAACCCAAGGTTGGGCTTCCTTTTATAGAAGGCTTCATGGGGGGTGACGTCCGCCGCTAGCCCTTTAGTCGGCATCCGGTTCTTGAGCCAACAAGCCATCGCCACCGCATCTCCCCAATAGTCCAAGGTCAACCCTGTGAGAGTACGACCTCGTTACACCACTTGGCCTTTTCTTATTTCCTTCCTTTTCCTTTCTCTTTTATTCCATCTCATTTGGTTTCCTATTCTTCCTTTTCCATTAACCTTTGGTTTATCCTGCTATTATAATTATATCACCGACCAGGCTGGGATGTACTGGTGCGCTCTATCTAGCGTAATCCTGCTGTAATCCCTTAAAGCCAATAGCCTCGCGTGGCTATACGCAGGGTGATTCTATCTTCTAGAAGGGTCTATTCCCCTAGGATAAGATAAACCTGGTTACCTGATGTACTCTGGAATTATAAAAGCGCCTTGTACTGATCGATAGTGCAACCTTTCCTCTACACATTCGATCCTGTGACACTTGGTAATCAGGGCTTTTCTCACTCGGCCGCGCTCAACAAAGCAGCAGCAGCGGGAAAACCTGCCTCGAAAAACAGCCGGGGGCGACCAATTCAACGCCGATTCTGGTAAGCACCAGCTCCGCGATTTTCGAATTACCCCCTCCGTGCGTGTTTTGAACAGGATGGCAACCTTCGACAACACCGAGGTTACCCAGCAGCTCTTCGCGCGCATCGCAGCCCTTCAGGAGGAAATGCGAGCGGATCGCGAAGCGTGGCGAAACGAGTTCGAGCGAGTAACTCGACTCGCCGGAGCGCAGCACGAGACGACAACGGCGACGACGCAGCAGTCGCAGCAGTTTCTTGAGGCTCCGAAACCGCGCCCACCTGAGCCGTTCGATCCGAGCGATCGAAACTCCGACGCCCGCAGATGGATCGCCATGATGGAGATCTACTTCGCAGCCGTCGGATGGAGCTCGCCAGTCTGGGACGGTCAACGTGTACGACTCGCGGCGACACTGATGCGAGGGCCGGCACTCAAGTGGATTGGCGGCAACAGTACCTTCATCCACGGTGAAGCCACGTGGCAGCAGTTCCGCGCTGACCTGCTGAAACGCTTCGAGCCGATAAATTCCAGTTTCCTTGCCCAGGAAAAAATTCATCGACACCGACAGTTCGGGAGTGTAGCGCAGTACACGCAGCAGATGGAGGAATTTTATAACCGCATTCCCGACCTGACCGAAGGGGAAAAAGTACAATCGTACCTCGCCGGGCTGAAGACCGAAGTCAAACGACAAGTCGCAGCGTCAAACTACGCGAGCTACAGTGACGTCGTTTCGGCAGCGGAGCGCTTCGACATGGTCAACGCCGGAACACGACGGACGCACGTCGGCAGTACGCGACAGGGCGACCGCTCGGCTCAACCCACGTTCGCCGACCCGATGGAAGTCGACAGATTCGAGGGGCGGCCACGTCCGAAAAACACCAATTACACGTGTGATTTTTGCAAGGTGCCGGGTCATCGAATCTTCGACTGCAGCAAAATGAAAGCCGCACGCGCAGAGTATCGGGCACGCAACAGTGGCGGAATTCCTTCAGCCAATCAGAAGCAAAAAAACGGGAGTCGCCAGTGATTGCGGATCTAGCTGGCGAAAATAAAAAGATCCGAAAGCGGCCGCGGGATTCCGGAAAAATCAACTTCGACGAAGATGATTCGACGCGAGAAGGAGGAAATGATGGGGGAAAATCTCCACCCCACAACCAATCTTCGCCAGGGAAAATCGCCGAGGAAAAATACGACTCCGCGAAAAAAGACTCTGCCGAGATAGGGAAACTCCTTGAAGACCCAAGAAATTATAAGAATTCATTAAAGTTATCTTATAAAGATGCTTTAATGAAAACTTATGATTGTCGAGGAGCTAGAGCCTTGGAGAAATTTCGGGAGGGACTCCAAAAGAAGCAGACAGCTGTGGAGATTATACCGGTACCGGACAACTTGGGGAAAAAATTACGGAGTGTGGAAAGAAGCCGACCTTTCCACGGAGTCAACGTCCTCTCCCGACACCAGCCAACAACGACTACCCGTTCCCCCGGGAAGACGTCGGTGGAGCTGAAGCAGCTCAAGAGGAAGCTGGGGGTCTATAAGAAGCTGCACAAACCCCAAAAACCTCCTCCGGATGCATCCAGTTCTTCGGCATCAGTGACGCGCACAGTCGTCAAGGAAATTCCGGGCCCTGGAGAAGAGCCGTTCTCCAAGCAGCCTCGGCCAGCTGCCAGCTCAGGAGTAGATAGCAACACAAAGGTGTGTACGGAATATTGGGATGTACCCTATGACCCAATCAATGAAACTATCTTTGGGTACTCCGAGCAACGACTGCCCCTCGTGCTCGAGGTCATCTGCAAAGGACGACGCCTCCAACCTTTCGTGGACAGCGGAGCATCACACACCGTCTGCGACAAGGCAGTGATCGACCGACTTCGGGAAGAGTACAAGCCTTCAGGATTCTCTGCAACGATGGTGGACGGCAGCAAGTTACCAGTACACGGCGAAGCAGTGCTACACCTACAAATTGGACCACTGCGCTGGAGACCTGCACTCCCCATCACCAACATCAAGGGGCTTGACTTGATCTTCGGGCGAGACTTCCTAAAAAGATTCAACCCCGAGATCAACTGGGTGAACCGCACCGCAAGCATCTACAACAATGGACGGAGAGTACAGCTACCCAACTGGGACAATACAGGAGATATCCCAGTGGAGACACTCGCACGATTCGAGAAGGACGTGAAGCGAACCGACACAGGGTTCCTGGCAATAGCAACAGAGGCGGAGAACGACAGGGAGACAACCTCGGAACCTCCAGGAAAGATCAAGGAATTATTAAAGAAGTTCCAAGATATTCTTCCGGACGATCTTCCGAATGAGCTACCGCCATACCGAACGCATCAACACGAGATCGTGGAGGAACCGGGTTCGAAGCCGACCTTCCGAGCACCATATCGGCTCAGCCCTACGGAGCTGACCGACATGAAAAAACAAATCGAGTATCTCCTAGCTAAAGGACTCATCCGACCATCCACTTCGCCGTACTGTGCCCCAGTACTCTTCACACTGAAACCGGACGGAAGCCTGCGCATGTGCATCGACTACCAAGCTCTTAACAAGCAGACCATCAAGAATAAATATCCAATACCGCGAATCGATGACTTGCTTGACCAGCTTCGGGGAGCTACGGTATTTTCCAAACTGGATCTGCGGTCCGGATACTGGCAAATACGCATGGCGGACAACTCTATCCACAAAACTGATTTCCGAACTCGGTACGGATCGTACGAGTATTTGGTAATGCCATTCGGACTCACCAACGCACCGGCAACGTTCCAAGCCGAAATGAACCACATTCTACGACCACTTTTGGACGAGTGCGTGGTGGTGTACCTGGACGACATACTCATCTACTCGCGCGACATGAAGCAGCACGTCGAACACCTGCGACGCGTCTTCGAAATTCTTCGACGAGAACGATTCTACGTCAAACTGTCCAAGAGCGAATTCGCCCTTGAAAAGGTCTAATTCCTAGGACACATGGTGAGCGCTCAAGGAGTTCACGTCGACCCCAAGAAAATTGAGGCCGTACGCACGTGGAAGACACCCGAGAACGTGAATGAGTTGCAGCAGTTCCTAGGCTTCGCTAATTACTACAACAGGTTCGTGCCACAGTATGCGAAAATCGCAGCACCACTCACGAATCTGCTGAAGAAGAACACGCCCTACAAATGGGAGCCGAAGCACCAAGAAGCTGTGGAGCAGATGAAGCAAGCACTTACGTCCGCACCGGTACTCATTTTGCCAGATCCCGAACGCGACTACGTCATCGAAGCTGACGCCAATGACCAAGCAGTGGGAGCAGTCTTGATGCAAGATCAAGGGAATGGACTGCAACCAATCGCTTACCTAAGTAAGAAACTGCACGGGGCAGAACTAGACTACCCGATACACGACAAAGAGGCCGTGGCTATCATCATCGCCTTCAAAGCATGGAGATGCTATCTCGAAGGACGAAGAACAACCGTCTACACTGACCACTGCAGCCTGAAATACTTGAAGACACAACCCAACCTTTCCAGGCGGCAGGTCCGGTGGATCGACTTCCTCGAGACACACTTCCACTACGACATCGTGTACAAGCCCGGTCACAAGAACAAAGCAGAGGCTCTCAGCCGGCCTGCACACGTTGCCGCTATTCAGGTCGAAGGGATGAATCCACTACTCAAGGGACTCTTCACACACGGGTACGCCATCGACCCCGAAATTCCCTTGGCACAAAAGCGACATCTGCTACAGTGGGACAGTGACATCGCGTACCGGAAAGGATCAACGAAAATCTGGGTACCCAATTACCCTCCTTTGCGCCAGTTACTACTCGAAGAATACCACGACGTCCTCTACGTCGGAAGAGGTGGGGGTGGTGAGGGTGGAAGAGGTGGGGGTGGGGACGGTGGTTCCGACGAGAGGACTGGGGCTGGTGCCCCGGAGCAGTAGCAACCGCAGCCTCAGCAGCAGCAGCAGTATTCGATTCAGCAGCAGCAGCAGTCGACGTGGGGACCCCCGTCGCCGTGGTGGACTGGTGGTACTAGTTGGGGTGGTCGTGGTGGTGGGGAGCGCAGCTCGGTGTCAGGTGGCGGCTCCAGTGCGGTCACGTGTCAGTACTAGCTTCAGACCGGCCCCACCGTGGCACCGTCTGCTCCCGTTCCGGCCACACTGCCGACCACTGCTACCGCCACCTGGACGACCTCTTCCGTCGCCGCTTCGGTCCCACGTCGGACCCTCCTGACTGGAACGCCCTGGCGCGCCGCCGTGTGCCTGTCTTTGAGCTAAACATGGATCAGATTAGGGCTGCTATGTCTGTCATGTATGCTGATGACTCTAGTGTGATTGGACCCTAATACCCGGTATTGCCTAGCGTAGGTGTATCCCCTGTGTGTAGTCTAGACTCCCCTGTTGCGTCAGGCATAGGACCCTCTGCTTTGTTCCCCCCTCCGTCGGCTGATGCTACTGCG